GAGAGGAAGGCAGAGAGAAGCCACCAGGCGACAACTTGTAGCTACTGGGAAGATAGGATGCACTAGGTGTTCTTTGGTAAGATAAGGCCACGTAGAAATACACAGATTAATAGTTATGGATTAATAATTAAGAGAGAGCTAGCCAGTAAGATGCCTGAGCCATCGGCCAAACAGTTTATAATTAATATGTCTGTGTGTTTATTTGGGGATGAAGGGTGGCAGAACCAGTCAGAACAGAAACTCCATCTACAAGACTGTGAACAAGTCAGATAGTGTAACACAAATAATAAAAACCCAGAGACAGATATTGGGGTTCAAGGTGAAGATCAGAAAAGCAAAGCAGCCAGTCACTAGCTCTTACCTCTATCTCACACTGAAATGGGTAATCCTGTCTCTACGAATCATCCTCAGAGTACAGTGCTCTCAGTCTGGAAACTAAATCTCTCATGAGACCCTTTGCTTCTTCCTTTTATACCTCCCTAGTGCTGGGATTAAAGGCATGAGCTCTGTTATACTTTTAGACTTATTTACTCTTGTGCAGCTCTGGGTAGCCTTAACTTACAGAGATTCATTTTGCCTGCCTCCTGAGTCCTGGGATTAAAGGTGTGTATCACCAATACCTGACTCTATGGCTGTGGCTAGCTTTGCATTTTGGTCTCCAGTGGCTTTAATAAATCATAAACAATATATCACCACAAGATAATACACAATGTTCCTCCATTGTTTCTGATAACAAGCAGTGTTCCCCTATAGTGTCTTCGTTTGCTTCCTGGTTGAGTTCCTGCTCTGACTTTCTTCAATGACAAACTGTGATCTGCAAGTGTAAGTCAAAGAAGCCCTCTGTTTCTGCTAAGTTGATTCTGGCCAGAGTCTTTTATGATGGCAATGGAGAGCAAACTAGAACACGCATGTAAAAACATAGGAGTTCTCCACAAAGTAATATGTGTGTGTGTGTGTGTGTGTGTGTGTGTGTGTGTGTGTATGCATAGTATATACACTATATATGCATAATTTCAAAGGAATTATCAGGGCTGAGAGGTGTAGCTCAGTGGCAGAGTGCTTGGCTAGCATCTTGAAGGTTCAGGATTCCAACCTCAGCACTACCAATAAATAAATAGATAATAAAAGGATATATACATACATATAATCAGCTGTTTACCCTATAGAGAATACAACAAACAAGACATAAAAAATCTTAGGATTTTTTAAAATCAATTTGGGTATAGGTCTGCATACCAGAAGACATTCAGAGAAAAGTATGGAAATTTGGGGAGAGGTTCTGAGATATGAAGTACACTGTTCTTGAGATCTTGGAGAGACCTCAGAAATACCATTTACATTAGGGCTCACTAAGCCAAAGCCAGCCCATTCACAGGTTGACTTTATGTGGCTGATAGATTTCAAAGTGGTATTTTTTTTTAAATCAAAAGAGTAATAATATTTTGTGATAAGTGAAAATTTTGTTAAATTCAAATTTTATGACCCATAAATAAAATTTCAAGGGCACGCAGGCACTCTGACTCATTTATATGTTGTCTATGGCTGTTTTTGTACAATAGCAAAACCAAGTAGTCATGACTCAATTTGCCAAGCAAAAATATTTCAACATTTGTGTAACCAAATGTACCAATATTTTCATGATTTTTGAGTCGTGGATTAAAAGGTTTTATCTATTCCAGAGGAGGAGTTGAACTAATGGGGAGGAAGGAAAAAACAAAGGCAAGTATTGAGGGGATGAGTAGAACAAAGTGTGGAGTGTGAAAAATAAGAAAATCCACTATTATGAATATTAATTTCCTTGGTATAAATAAATTAGTTTAAATAATGATTTCTGGGGCTAGAAAAATGACTCTTAAGAGCACTCACTGGCCCTTTCAGAGGATCCAGGTTCGATTCCTAGCATCCACATGGTGGCTCATAAGTAGCTATAACTTCAGTTCCAGGGGATCTAATGGGCTCTTTTGGCCTTCGTGGACACCAGGTACACATGTGATGCACACACACACATACAGGCAAAACACTTACATACATGAAACAAATACACATACCCTATTTTGTTCAGAGGTTGTTTTTGTTTTGTTTGAGATGAAGTCTTACTCTGTGGCTCAGGCTGGCTTTTCTGAAACAAGCTATGTAGCTCAGGCTGGCCTCAAACTTGTGGTGATCCTATGTTTCACTTTCTCAAATGCTTCAATTATAAGCATGAGTCACCATGCCCAGCTTTCTCTGGTTTTTATATGACTTCATTTAATATATAAGCAGCTTTGGATAAATCTAAAAACTGATATAAGTTTTATTGTCATAGGTTGTTTCATTATTATATCAATGTTATCAGGAGCCCAAATTTTCAGAGTTAAAAAAAAAAAAAAAAAAAAACCCAGAAGCTGGCGCCATGATGCATACCTATAATCCCAATATCTGTGAGGTTGAGGTCAGGGTGTCCACATTAGGCAAATGCTCTGCCCCTGAGCTAATCCCCAGCCTCTACATAATTTTTAATATACTACTTTAATTAATTCTTTAAGAATTGCATACATGTATAAAATGTACATTTACCCCCTAACTCCTCCCAGCTCCACTCATTGAATATTCATTCATTGAGTCCAGTTGGTGCTGCCCATAAACTCACAAGGGTGGTGCCATCCTATGGTTAACCCACCAGGGGCCACATCTTTAGGAAAACTATCTCTCCTCCCCTTAGAAGCCATCAACTATCAATAGCTCCTCAACTAGAGCCCTACATATTATTTTTTTTTTGTAAGAAAACATTTGATTTTAGGTCCAAAAAGAAAAGAACCAACATATAAAGTAAGTTGTTGATGGTGAAGCAGTAACCCAAGAACCATTTCTACTAAAGTATCAAAGACAAGAATGTACACACAGCCATTGTTGTGCACCCCTGAATTAGATGTAATAGTCAGTGCAACTAGATAAGAGAAAGATATTAGAGGTATAAAAATTGAAAATAAAAAGGAAGACTATTGTTTGAAAATAGCATAGTTATTTCCCTAGAAAACCCAATACAGCAATTCAATTTAATATAAGAAAACTCAGTAAGGCAACAGAGAACAAAACCTATATAGCAACTAGTAATTTTCCTTTCTTTGGATACTACCAGACTCCCCAAAAACAGTAGTGAAGGAATAAGCCACGTATAATAGCAACAAAAATTTATGAGATAACCTGCAACAAATCGAAGAAGGAATATGGATACATATATGCATGAAAACTTTAAGGCAATAGTGATAGATACAGAAGAAGATGAGAAATGTTAAGTGGCAATCACATAAATGCTTGTCCTTGTAAAAGATGTTCATCAGATGGGTGTTTCAGTAATCTTATGGGGATTACTGAGTAGCCATTTGGAAAAGAATAAATTGGGATCTACATCTTACATATTACACTAGCATAAATTACAAATTTATATATTTGTATATGTTTAAAATAAAAATCAGTATGATAATAGGGTATGGTGGTGCATGCCTTTAATTCTAGCAGGAAAAAAGCTGGTGGATCTTTTTGTGTTCAAGGTCAGCCTGGTCTACATAGTAGATCCCAGGCCAACCAAGGCCACATAGTGAGACTATGTTTCAAAAGCCAAAACAACAACAACAAAAATCCCCACAGGAACAGAAGAATATATGGGCAAATCCCTTCTTTACTGAGTAACTGACTCAAAAAGGGATGTCATAAAAGTTAAATCCAGCTGCATAACAAAAGATAAATGGGAATGTGGGGATATTTGCAATTTATATTATTTTTTACAATAAAAATAAAATTGAAAATTCATATTTGTACTTGCTAATGTATAAGTAAAAATAATCTTTGTAAGGGTTCATAGAATAGCAGGTATCTATAGCAGAGATAGCTGCTGGGTAGACAGAGAGAACAAAAGAAAGACAACTTTTCCCTGTACATTTGTTGTTGTTTTTCTAGACAAGGTTTCTCCGTGTAGCCCTGGCTGTCCTGGAATTTGCTCTGTAGACCAGGCTAACCTTGAACTCAGAGATCCACCTGCCTCTCCTTCCCTAGTGCTCAGATTAAAGGCATGTGCCGCCACCACCCAGTTTATTATACAAGTTTTGTTTTGTCTTTTGAGACAAGTCTCACTATGTAGCTCTTGTGGAACTAGTTCTGCAGACCAGATTGGCTTCAAACTCACAGAGATTCACCTGCCCCTGACTCCTGAAGGATGGGACTACCGGCATGTACCACCATGCCCTGATTATTATACAACTTTTTAAAATATATATATTTTTTTGACTTTTGAAGTAGGATGGTTGCTCTCCAGTGCTGAGAGTCTAATACAGAGATAAATATATACTTCAGGTCCTAATGTGATGATCAAATTCAAGTAATTAGCTGGATGTGGTGGCCCAGTCCTAGAATCCCAGCACTTGGGAGGCTGAGGCAGGAGGATTCCAATGAGTTTGAGGTCAACCTGGACTACATTGTGAATTTAATCCCAGTTTGAAATTCAAAGAAAAACTCTATATCTCAATAAAACAAAACAAATAAACTTATTTTAATTCATTAGTCCTTGCAGTGCTTTGAAAAAGTGGAGCACATAGTAGGAACTCACTAATACAGAGCAATACTATGTAACCTTGAATTTGCTTGGAGTACATAGCTCAACAGCAGAAATATGAGAGACCCTGCCTCAAAAAGCTGGAAGATGAGGACTGACTCCCAAAAGTTGTCATCTGACCTTCAACATGTGCCACAGTTACGTGCACCACCCATATTCTATCTACATACAAGAAAAATGTATATCATAGAAAATAATTCTTCCACTCATTAGAATCATTAAAAAGAAACTGAATTTACCTCAGTTCCCAAATGCTAGAATTACACGTGTGAGCCACCACCAGCAGCCAACAAATGCCTCTTGATTAACTATAAAATCATTTCTTTCAAGTCTTGTCTGTATTCACATCATTGTTCTACTAGCTTTTCAATGTAAGGAGATAGATCATCAACTGAACACACACAAACTGTACCTGTTGCTGATCGTATCAGGAACATATACCTTCAGTTCTTCTGTGACATCTTTCATCACCCTCTGGTAGCCAGACATTCCTGGGTCTTTGACATAAAGAGTATTGTTTCTCATTAAATATTCCCCCAAATAATTAATTGGATCAAACTTGGTTGGGATATCAGCTTGGCTCAATAGCTTCTTCTTTTCTACCTGCATTAACATTTGTTCTACTCCAGGAATCAAGATGGGAAGAAGCTTGTCCAGCAAGTATGCCCGTGTAGTTAGTGTCATGTTATCAATATTAAACCACTCTTTAGCCAAGTGGTCCCTAGCGAGCTTTTTTGTAGTCTTCTTTTCTTGTTCCTTCTTTAGGCTATCCTTCCCTAGCATTTTCTGCTGCATGACCTGGGCTCTTGCTTCTAATCTCTCAGTAAGATTTTTCTTCCATGGTTGGTGTGTTTTTAACTTCTGTACAACATCTTCTATAGCAAAAATCACTTTTGCAGGTTTTCTAACCACAACATTCCTGGAAGCTGCATGAGAGTCCTTTGTTGAAACAGCTGAGAAGAAAAAAAATTCAGTGTAAGAAATACTAGAAGTATGGGGCTGGAGAGAAGGCTCAGTGGTTAAGAGTTCATACTGCTTTTGCGGAAGACCCTGGTAGGTTACCAGCATCAACAGCATGCAGCTCCCAGGGACCTGTGATTACTGATCCAGAGAGATCTATCTGATGCCTTAGGCATCTGTGGGCTTCTGCACTCATGTGTACATACTACACACAAATACACATACCTATAACTTTTAAATTAAAAATTTTAATTTTTAAAATTTTTTTAAATTAAATTTTAAAAAAATTAAAAAAACACTATAGAGTCTAATTGATGACTTTAGTATATATTTAACAACAACAAAAACCTCAAAATTGTCTTTATATCCTTTTACATGGTTTACTGGAGCACCATCAAAACAAAAAGCCTGAGAACAATCATTTGAACCATAAAAACATTTGTTATTTTGTTATGGAATATTAGTTTAAGATGTGTTTCAGGGCGGGAGAGATAGTTCAGTGGTTAAGAGCACTGACTGCTCTTCCAGAGGACCTGGATTCAATGCCCAGCACCCACATGGCAGCTAACAACTGTCTGAAACTCCAAGATCTGACACCCCCACACAGACATACATGCAGCCAAAACAGCAATGCACATAAAATAAAAATAAATTACAAAAGATGTGTTTTATTATTTTATGCCGTGGAATGTTTTTTAATGATGCAAGGATGTGTTGCATTCTTTTATGTTGCATTTGTTTAACTCTGTGAAGCTGTGTCACTTTGCCTGCCTAAAACATCTGCTTGGTCTAATAAAGAGCTGAATGCCCAATAACTAGACAGGAGAGAGAGAGAGAGTCAGGGCTGGTGGGCAGAGAGAATAAATAAGAGGAGAAATGTAGGGAAGAGGATGAGGAGTGAGAAGAGGGGGAAGAATGAGAGGAGGAGAGTGCAAGGGACATACATGCCTGGAGCAAGAAGCCAGACAGACAGATGCTGCCATCCAGACATTAGAAAAGCAGTGTAAAGGCATTGGTGGTGAACGCCTTTAATCCCAGCACTCAGCAGGCAGAGACAGGCAGATCTCTGTGAGTTGGAGACCAGCTTGGTCTACAGAGCTAGTTCCAGGACAGGCTCCAAAATGATAAAAGCAGTGAATGGAAAATATACACAAGTAAGAAAGTTAATAAGCCTTGAGGTAAAAGGCAGTTGAAGAGAAACGGGTTAATTTGAGGTAAAAGAGCCTGAAAAGAGCTAAGCTAAAGTCAAGCATTCAAAACAAATAATAAGTCTCTGTGTCAAGATTTGGAAGCTGGTTAAGTGGCCAAAAAGGAAAAGTCTGATACACTACTGACATAATCACAGTCAGTTGAGCGGCTCAGGGCTTTATTAAATTAACTTGCTGCTACTCTGTGCACTGCCTCTCTGAGACAAGGTTGACTTCCAACTCCAATTCCTGCCCCTTCCTCCCAGCCTCCCATCTTCCCTCATTTTTCTCTTTCCTTCCCCATCTTCCTCTTTCCTTCCTTCATATGACTGTATCAGAGACTGAGAAGGAGGAGGTAAAGTAGAGATAAAAATGGAAGACACAGGAGGGAGATTAGACCCTAGTCCTGAGGAACTGAGCAGAGCAATGAGCAAGATGACTCAGAGGGCACAACGAACTGGGGACATTCCCTCTCACAGCCTCCATTGTCTATGGAAGAAAATAAAGACTGCTAAAAGGAAGGCATGATGAAATCATGAACTTTATGTGAAAGATAAAAAGGTGTAACATAATTGCTGTGAGTGTGAAGCAGAATACACATGTATAACTAGTTTTCTAAGCAGTTTTGAAAGTCTAACTGAGAATGAAAGCAACCTATTTTTCATGATATCAGGACAGAGAGGCTTGGCCCTGGATTCCCAGGGCATGGCTAGCTTACTCTCTGAACAGAAAGCTACCAGGTGATTTCTTCTGTTCCAGTGATTGCTGAGGTGAGTGGAATGGAAGAATTAATGAGAATCTTAAGGTTTTTTTTCCCTGACATAGCTATGGAGATGAAGAACTTTGTGGTCTTTTCAGAAATTATCCACTGAAAAAGAACATAGATGCCCACATCAGTATCCCGGCTATGTATTGCTATGCTGCTTCACCCTGCTTCTGTTATTTTGTGGATGTAGGTGAAAATAGAAACATGTCTGAAAATTTGTCTATATTAATTTCTAATATTATTGAAAAGTAGCTATTGGGACATTTTAATTACTAATAACTTCCTAATAAATACTAGTACTGCAATAAAAGGACAAGATACAGAGTGGCTATTTAAAAATAGTGTTTTTTAAATTATGAAATAGTCAGATCCTCAAGGGCAATATACAGACATATACCTAATCTTAGCTTAAGAAAAAATTACTTACATAATAATACCTCTCATTTATTTCTACTTTGAGAGAAACACTATTTTAAATTTTATGTTAATCATCTCCATATGTTTTGATATGTTTTACTATGTCTAGCTGGTATAATATTGTTCTCACTTTTAATTTTATATAATTATTTAATATGATGTATGTTTTATGGCCTTTTTATGCTTGATTATAATTAGAAAATTTAACTACATTGATAGGTAGGAATAACTACTTCATTTGGTTTCACTGTAGGATAATATAATATTATACAACTATATCACAATATATTTATCCATTCTCATTTTGTTAGCTATTAGGATATTTCCAGTTTTTTGTTGTTGCTGTTATAACAAGTAAAAACAAGTATGCATCTGGAGGTCAAAGAAAAACTTTGGTTCTTCCTTTCCACCATGTGGATTCCGCAGATGTAATTCAGATTGTCAAGCTTAATAGCAAGAACCTTTATCTATTGAGCCTTCTTAAGAACCCCTATTACTGATATTGTTATTCAGGGTGCTCTAGTAAGAATGCTTGTGTCCCTGCAAAATCTAAATATCAGAACCAAAGATCCAACATGACAGTACTAAAAGGTATGGACTTTGGGGAAGACTCTGCCCTCAAGGATGAACTAATACCAACAAAAAGGGCTAGAGTGGGGCTGAAAAGATGGCTCACTGGTTAAGAACATTTATTATTCTTGTCAATGATCCAGGTTCAGTTCCCAGCATCCACAGTGGGGAGCTCACATTGCCTGCAACTCCAGTTCCAGGGTAACCAATGTCCTTTTTCTAGTCTCTCCATGCCTGGCACATATAGACTCACACACACACACACACACACACACACACACAAATTAAAAATATATTTGGGCTAGAGAGAACTAGCTAGGCCCCTTTTGTTCCTTTCACCTCTTTGTCACCTGAGAATACAGCGTGTTCATCTCTGCAGAGGATACTACATTTAAGATGCTTTGTTGGAATCAAAGACTGAACCCTCAAATAGGCATCAAATCTGTATGTGCCTTGCTCAATCTTAGACTTTCCAGACTCCATAATTGCTAATAATACATCTATACTGTTTTTAAGTTAAATTTATGCTGTTTAAAAATTACTCTACACTGTGTTTATTTATTTTTTTACAGTAACAGGAAGTATTGAAACATAGGGTCATAGGTACAAGCATTTCATTTGCAAGAAATATTATCCAATTATTTCCAGAGTCATTGGTATCAATTTATAGAAACTCCTGGAAGCTCATCTTTGGAGTATCCAATGGTACATGGAATTTGTGAACCTCACTTTGGGTTTTTATTTCCTCCCTGGACAAACTACTTATTCCAGTCACCATCTACAAGAACAAGAGTTCCTATTGTAGGGGCTGGAGAGATGACTTAGTGGTTAAGATTGTGTACTGCTCTTTCAGAGGACCTGAGTTCAGTTCCCAGCATCCATGTTGAGTGGTTCATAACCACATATAATTCCATAACCACATATAAAACCCGATGACTCTGGCCTCCTTGGACACATGCTTGCACATGTATAAGCCCACACACAGACATGAACATACATATAGTTGAAAAGATGATAAAAATAAAATACCTTAAAAAAAAGGAATTCCTGCTATAGGAGAGTGGCTTTTGAGGTGTATTGCTCAAGATCCTTTAAAGGAGCTTCTGAATCCACAGGACTCCAAGCTTCTTTGTGGCAAGAGCAGCTATGTTTCAATTTATCTCATATAATTGGAGAGCACTGTAAGATTTCATTGGAAAAAGGCTTTGCCACTTTAGAAAACTGTAGAAAAATCAGTACTGGGAAAAAATAAATTTTATCCTTTTTCCTAAGGGAAAAATCAAATAGCCTGTAAGAAAACCCTTGAAAGCCTATCTATTGAGTGTCCTGGGTCTAATGGTGATGGTATTTATGGACCTTCTTCAGGCTTTTACTTCTTCTGTGGCCAAATCTCTTATCCCAAGGAGGGGTAGAATATGGCTTTCTCACATGTCAGTTGGATTTGCAAATAAAGTGGTCACTTGGTAGGGGGAGATGGTAGGGTATGTCTCCATGTCAGTGTTGATTGCCAACTTGGCAAAATCTAGAAAGACTTCAACCCCAGGGCATGCCTCTGTGTGTGGGGGTTATCTTGATTGCATAACTGAGGTGGGAAGACCTGACCACTGTGTGTGGGTCATTCCTAGCTGGGATCCTAGACTGTGAAAGTGGAAAGGCCATCTGAGCACTGGAACTCACACGTTCATTTCATTGTTCTCTGCTCTTCCCTATGGATGTGATATGACCTGCTGCTTCAAGTTCCTGCAGCCTTGACATTAAACTTGGAATAGTGAGCCACTGAACTCTCTTCCCTTCAATTTTCCTTTGTCGG